TGACCATTGATGGTTGGTATCCACGTGATCACATGCCTGATGAGTATCCAAAAAACGAGGAAGAGCGACGGGCAGCAGCTATCAAATATGGTATGAGATTGGAAGATTACAGGTGAACTCGTTTTTTGTGCTGAATTTTCATCACTCTGATCAACATTGCCAACTTCCAACGGCCGCTCATTATCATTTTCCGTAGCATTGATAGAGCTGGCAAATTCTCCATTTTGGGTTTCTCTCATTCATGTAATTCCATATAGATACTCGGACTAGGTCTACCCATTGCATTAGCTAATTTCCCTATGTTCTTTTAATGTTCACTGTTCGCTTAGTCCATCTGTTGTACTAATAATTTTTTTGAAACGAATGAAACGATGGAATCAAATATTTTGCAAAAATGAGCAATATGTTAACAGCAAGGAAACGAAGCTGGTGGCTAAACCCCTTCGCCTTGCGCAGTTACTTTTTGATTCTGTTTGATATGCAAATGTGCCATCTCCTGACTCGGGTTCCTCCTTCCATGATATGTAATGATGTGATTAGAAATGAAGTGATGATTGGTTTCCTGAGCCAAATAATTGTGCGGCGGCTTATAGCGCTTTGGTACCTTATTAAATAAGGCAGCAACCTTTTCATGGTTTTTATGACCAAAATTGCATAATCTAAGGGTCATCATTTTGGGAAATGCGAGTGTATTTTGCTGCTTCTTTTTTTTTTTCTTTCTTCCAATAAGCAGTATGAGATTTTGTTACATTGTTTCCACGAACTGCTAAGTTTGGAGGAGCGAGAGGAGTTGATGAAGACGAGGAAAAAGGGCAAGGGGGAGAAGGAGAATGGCAAAGGAGAGGAAAAGAGGTAGAGAAATTTCCCGGTATTTCCACGCTAAGGCTAAAAATTTTTGGAAATTATTTGTTCCTTGATGCTTTTAATAATATTTTTGGAAGTACTGTTATTGTTTTGCTTTAGGCCGATTGATAAGGATGATCATTTCAAGCATGCCGGCAATTACCCGGATTATGGTTGCGTTACGTACGATCACAAGGATCCGCATGAAGATTGGAGCGATCCGTTCCATCGAAGAAACTGGGGTGAAGGGGTAAGTTCTGCCAGCTTAGATTGAGTCAAACTCTGAAACTCTCGCATATCTGCGTAATTTCTTGCTTACACACGTGAAATCTGGCGTTTATGACGGGTGCAACGATTGGTACAACTTTTTTTTCTTAAATGGATTATTGAAAAAAATTCATTACTTATGTAACTTTTTGGGTCTTTTTGTGCACCGTCTAATGCAAGTTAGTACTGACATTTGAAAGGCGTCTTTGATTAAGTTCTGCATCCTTTGTACTAATTTCTGCATTCATTTCCTAATAGTCTTTATCCTTTTATCATAATTTTTAGGCTTTTTATGTAATTTCTCCTGTTTTTCAACTTAATTCTTAACTCTTTTCTTCCCACATGAGGTGCTTCAACTTTTTTGATTGGGACAGAAAAGTGGTTGCAGTCCTGCTTTTTTGTCTAAGTTCTTGCATGCGTAACAAGTGAATTCGGAAGAGGTTTTTTTTTGTTGAAAGCGTAGAAGAATATAACAAAAAAAGTAATTCATTTTTGTAATAAGTCGAAGTTATTTCCGGAAATTTTCACGATTTAAATTTGCTTGGAGACAGCAATTTTGTTTTGTGAGAGAGACGGTTCAGTTAATTTCAGATGGAAATTCAAGCAATGATGCATACACACGATCGTGACTCCTACACCAGCATCGATGACGAAGAAACTTCCATGTTTGTTCATTTATTTTTGCTTGCTGGAAGACTTTTTCGAACTAACTTCCAAATATTCCTGTAGTCATCAAGTACCGCACGTACTTGATCGTATTTAGTTTCATCCCTTAGCTGTAAACACTAATAAAACTGGAAAGAAGTCTGCGTTCCATCTCCTTAGCCTACGACTTTTTTATCTAAGATTGGAGGCCTTCGAAGTGGAGCAGTAATGCTGTGCGCCCACCAAGGATGTCTCGAAATAGCAAAAGTTTAACGGCCAAAGCCAGCTACATCTGCCGAGAGAACCACTAGTGTAGTAATCTTTTCAAGAGACAAAACGAATGTCAGAATCGTCCTCAGAATTGACCCTCAGATGATGCAGCACTGATCAAATGAACTGGAAAAATTGGTGGTGGTATAGTTGGGACATC